CATTTGAAAATCTTTGCCTTAGTTTGAGACTGGATTCACACGAGTGTTCCTCCAATTCACTCAAACCAAGGCTCTGATACCAACTTGTAACATCCATAAAATTCATGAAAATTTAAAACTTTTTCAAGCATTTAAAAACCATTATTTATTACAAAATGTTTTCAAAATAGTTTCATATCAGAGTATCCCAAAAATCAAAATCATAAAATGCGATGAGGTGCACGATCAAGCCTTCTTCTTCCCGCAATCATCTGAAGTACCTGAAACAAAATCTAAAACTGTAAGCCCGAAGCTTCGTGAGTTCCCCCAAAATACCAACGACATATAAATCATAACAATATCATAACAAACAGCATGCATATAGAGTCTGCAGTGTGACTGGACCGCCCTCACCGGGCCTTCAGTCTGTCTGGCCCACTCTCAGAACCTTCGGCATGTTTGATCCGCCCTACCGGGCCTTCAGCCTGTCTGGACCGTTCTTTGGGCCTTCGGCCTGACTGGTACGCCCCATTGGGCCTTCAGTCTATCCGGGCCGCCCTGGGTATGTCAGCCTACAGCACAAAGCAGGACCGCTTCAACCCACCCCAAGCATAAAATCAACACATAGATAACAAATGCTAGCATCTACAAATAATCCGACCGATCTAACAGATCACTAATCATAGCATCATCCTATATACCAGGATACCGACCTAACATGTCACTAATCATAGCATCATCCTATATACCAGGATACCGACCTAACAGATCACTAAACATAGCATCATCCTATATACCAGGATAACAATCCAAAAAGGGTCGGCATTGGTGCCTTCGACCCTGTTAGTATAGTGAGGAAAACTCACCTCACAAGTAGTGCTGAATCAAGAAGATCAAACCCCAACTCTTAGCTCCAAACTCAACTGCCTGAAATTCCCATACGACTGATTCCATTAGAATCCCAAATTACCAAAATACCCCCAGAAGTCAAAATTGGTCAACCATGGTCAAAGTCAAAGTCAACGGTCAAGGTCAACAGTCCATGTTGACCCAACTCGTCGAGTGCAGCTTATTGACTCGTCGAGTTCCTTCAGAATTCAGAAACCATGAAAACTTGAGTCAACTCGCCAAGTTGCCATACAACTCGTCAAGTCCATGTGGTGTCTAGAAGATCGGGAAAACCTTAATCAACTCGTCGAGTTATCTCACCAACTCGCCGAGTTCACTCAAAATCCAGAAAGCGGGAAAACCCTTATCCAACTCGTCGAGTTGGCCAAGCAACTCGTCGAGTTGGCCAAGCAACTCGTCGAGTTTTCCTGTCTTAACGTGTTCAACCCTTTCCAGTCGACTCCAATGCCCCAAACTACAGATCTAGCCTCTTAGGACTAAGATACCACGTAAAGTTGCTAACTTTACGTGTATGCAAGGCATAAAAGGGATCAAAACACCATTACTAAGCTAAATAAGAGGTTTAGGGCATGGAAGTTGGCCAAAGCTTGAGTCTTTAAGCCTAAGGAGGCCTAAAAGGGTTTAGATCTAAAGCCATGTCCTCATGACAGCCCAAATCCGAGAATGACTCCAAGTAGCAAAAATGACCATTTTCTTTCATGAGAGGAGATCTAAGCAATGAAAGGTCAAGGTAGCAGCTTTATACCTCAAGATGGCTGCTAAAACAATGCAAAAGCCGGATCTACAACCCCTTCCTTCAGTTATGCACTCACAACTTCAAGCTTCTTGAAGAAATGCACCAAACACACACTCTTTTAGCATTACACACTCTCAAAATGGAAGGTTAGCTCGATTAGGGCTTTCTCTGGACTGTAAAGTTATAAGGGAGGCCAGAAAGGGGACTTAAGGTCATTTAAATAGGTGAAAACCCTAAAAATTAAGGTTTTCATGCGCAACCTCAAATCGTCGAGTTGGGTCCTCCAACTCGTCGAGTAGGTTCCATAAACCACACGAACTGATCAGTTTCTACACGACGAATTGGGGCCTCCGACTCGTCGAGTAGGTCTTAAATGATGTATAAATTTCTTGAAATTCATACCTGAGAGTTGGGATGTTACATGAGGTGTACCCGACGGCTACGAATGGAAAGTAATTGAAAATGACATTGCTGTCCTGAAACATGTCCCACTACACTGACCTGCTCTCCCATTATCTTGACTGGAAAATTGGAGCCTCCTGCTAAAAAAGGTCGATCAAGAATTCTAACAACTTCTTAATGAACAACAAATCATGATTCTTTATTTTCGGGTTTGTATGTATTTATAGAAAGATGATGTCTTTGTTATTTTCAAAGTTATTGTTCATGTTTTTTTTTCTGAATAACCATGTTTTTGAAAGCTATTAAACACAAATTTCATTGGCGGTGGCCACTATGTTTTATGTTGACTTAATTTAAATTAAGCTTCCACAAATTTCGCTATACTTATTTGAATCCGCGTCAATGGCACAAGGGGGGGGGGGTACTAGTTCATTATTATTGTAAGGTTAGTAGTAATAATTATAATATTTTCTTAGGCTAGTGGGTGCGGCGTCACATTTGTCACAGTCCACGTAGGCGGCACATTACACTTGCCACATTCTTACCAAAATTTGTCATTTGGTAGGCCCGGGTTGCCACACTTGACATGTTATTTTTTTTAATATACAAAATAAATAATTTAAACATAGCATTTTAAAAAAAGAAACTTAAAATTCATTAAACTTAAAATAAAAATACAACACATCAAAAAAAACATAGAAACTCAAATTACAAACCTAGAAATTTAAAAAAACATAGAAATGTAAAAAAAACAAGACAATAAAATTAAAACACCTAAACTAGATGTTATATTTTTTTGCAAGCTCCTCTTTGGCTTTTAAAGCCATTTCTCGTTCGCGTCCGGATAGCTCGTTTGTGGGTCTCGGTAAAATGCACATGGCACGCGTTTTTTCTTTCTCTTGTGCAAAGTTCAAGTAGCGCTCCAAGGAAGACTTCAAACCGTCCATTTTTGTTGATAGTTTCTCGACGTCTTCGGAAGTAGTTGCCGCCATTTTTCCCTTTTGCTTGGCCTTGTCTCTTCCCATGGGACGAGTGACTCTTGGAACCTCAAAATGCTCCTCTTCATTGAGATCAATCCCGATATACGCATCAGACGATTGACTATGTGTCATTTCAGACATTTTGGTTCTTTTATACGAACCACCCGTAAAAGTTTCAGAAGATGCCACATCCAGCCATTTTTTTTAACAATTTTACAATGTTCCAAAAAATGTAAAAATTTGAATGGCGCCCCTTTTTGTTCTCGGTACATGTCAAGAGATTTTTGCAAAATGGTTTCGTCGTTTGCACAACTTTGTCATTGCCGTTTCACACTCGAAAACAACCCGTCGAACTTCGTCATCACGTTGTTAACATTTCGCCACTTAGAATAAATTTGGTCTTTTTTTCCGGTAATCACCAAGATTCATCTCGTTCAGAAACTGGCACGTGATTTTTCGGAAGAAAGTTGGACAATCTTGGTTGTTTCTGACCACCGGATCTTCAGAAACATCCACCCAAGCACGCACTTACGTCTTTTTTTCGGCGGATGTCCATTGCTTTGGAGGCGCCCTTCCACTTTTTTTTTGCTGTGATGGATTCTCTTTTGGCTCAAATTCTGTTTCCGGGACGACTTCGGGTTCCGCTTCAGCTTGAAATTCGGTTTGGTGGTTCATTGGGGAGTCGGGAAGATCATCAACTGGATTGAACTCATGCATCATTTGGGATGAGAAGTTCATTTGTGGTTGGTTTTGAAACTGGAGTTTTCTTTGAAATTGTGGTTGGTTTTGGAATTGAGGTTGATTTTGGTATTGTGCTTGATTTTGATATTGAGATTGATTTTGGGCTTGAAATGGGTAGTAAACACCACCAAAATGTAGATTTGGTGGAGAATAAATAGGCTGATCGTGTGGTTTGAATGAAACTTGGTGAAGAAGGTGAAACATTTGGGTTTTGAGTGTTTCGTTTGATATTTTGTTAGCTTTTTGGTTGGAAAGAGAAGTCATTTTTTTCAACAAAAAAACTGAATGGTTTGAGTGATAATTTGAAGGTGGTGAAGTGGGATAAAATATGAAAAAGAGTGACATTTACATAAAGGGGAGATTTTTTGATTTTTTTTTTTTTTGAAAAAACGATAACAAAACCCCCCTAACATTCACCTTTCCGTAACCCAATGCACCCTCTCTCCTCGGTGAAATCTAGCCGAGTTACCAAGCCGAGCTCAGCAAGCCAAAGGATCGGCGCAGTGTTTGTCGAGTATGCCGAGGTGATTGCCGAGCTAGCCGAGTTCCATACCGTCCAGCCTTAGAAGGTAAAAAGGAACATTGCTATCATATTTTTTTTGTTAAATAAATCTTATTAAGGATTTATTTATTGGTCAGTATTTATTATGTTTGGTATAATATTTAAATGACTTTGAACGAATCAAAGCTTAAAACTGTTTATGAATTATTAAGCAATCTTACATTCTTCTTAACCATTAAGATGTTACATCTATTTTGTTTAAGATCCAACACGATTTACAATACAACCCCTAATATAAGTTTAAGTTAAGATCCAATGTACAATTCGATATACACAATCACCAAATAATATACCATAATGAATAATGATTGGTGAGCGATAAAAAATGAGTGTTTTTTGATTCAAACCGATAAATATTTGTATAGATTAACATTCAATTGATTTTGATTTGGTGCTTGATACATATCATGTAGATTTCATTGCAAAAATAAATAAATAAATAAATAAATAAATAAATAATAATAATAATAATAATAATAATAATAATAATAATAATAATAATAATAAATAAATAAATAAATAAATAAATAAATAAAAACTGTCATTTAAGCCATATAAACTAAATTGAAAATGAGATTGGGTCAACCACGTTATGCATTTTAAACGCTTCCCTCCTTGTTTTTCTCTGCACCTTTCTCTTCCTCGTTTTGATCCCATTTAAAACCCTCATTCTCTCTCTCATTTTTCTTCTCTTCCATAACATCTAACCAACATCAAATCGTGGTAAGTCTTCCAGTTCTTCATTTTTTACAATGCCGATTAATACCTATCCTTTTTGATTCATGATTTCATATCTATTCAACCAAAATGATTTCTTGTATGCATGTGTTATTCTTTTGTTTGTTTGATTGATTTGGCTTTTATTTTGCGTTCATGAGATTATCAATGCATTGATGATTATTTGTTCCTTCTCTTTTTAAGTGATAGATTCAGCATGACGATCGATCAAGCACATCACCCAAGTGTTCAACAGAAGCTAGCCGGGAGCCTTCTTCTTCGATCATGTGACGGTGGTTTCCGGCAGCCACATTATCCCTACTTGAGGCAATCTCAGTACAGAAAATTAACAAATGGGTCATTTCAGGCATCAACTGATCACCTGTCAATGGTTGTGCCGAAACTAGGGGCATCGCCGGCTATTTGTGTCCAAGCTCCGGCGGAGAAAGGTTTCTCGTCATTCGCGATTGATTTTCTTATGGGCGGAGTTTCTGCCGCCGTATCAAAAACCGCCGCTGCTCCAATTGAACGAGTGAAACTTTTGATCCAGAATCAAGATGAGATGCTTAAAGCTGGGAGGCTGTCTGAACCCTACAAAGGCATCGGCGACTGTTTTGGTCGAACCATTAAGGACGAAGGGTTTGGTTCCTTGTGGCGAGGAAACACTGCTAATGTCATCCGTTACTTTCCGACTCAGGTTCCTACTTTTTTTTTTCTCTTTAAATGCCAAAAAAATGCAATGCAGTTTCATTTCTTCATATATTATAGTATATTATTTTTATCACATTTTCTTTATAAAATTACACAAATGGTCCTTTGGTATGTAGAAAATACCATGCAAGTCTTTTTGAAGATTTTTAACATAATTGGTTTTTTAAGGTTTAAAAGGAACATGATCTGTCCATTTGATTAACATGGTTTCATTTTCATGTTTAAAACACAAAAGGTGGGTCCTTTTGTTTGTAGAAAATAACTCAGCATGTGTTTTAAACCATGTTAAAAAAATTTCAAAATGACTTGTAGTTCTATTTTCTACCAACGACAATGACCATTTGTATAACTTTGTCCATTTTTTAAAGGGATTTCAAGACATCATACCTTGAATAATATCTCTAGTTATTTTTTTATCCCGATGGTATTGATATATAGTTTGTAATTTTTTCAAAAATTATGTAATAGGAAGAAAGATCATCACGAATCAAAACATTATATTTATACTTTGTGCAAATGGTATATTATCTTCAACTCATAACATAATTAGTTTTAACACCAAAAAAGAATCTAGATGTATTTAATTAAGTGTACCCATTTTGTAACTTTTATAGATTTTGAAAAAAGTTGTTATATTTATTAACTTTTATAAATTCCATGCATGCAGGCACTGAACTTTGCATTCAAGGATTACTTTAAGAGGCTTTTCAACTTCAGAAAAGATAGAGATGGGTATTGGAAATGGTTCGCTGGCAACCTGGCATCTGGAGGTGCAGCCGGTGCTTCCTCCCTTTTCTTTGTTTATTCCCTTGACTACGCCAGAACCCGTTTGGCAAATGATGCTAAGGCGGCAAAGAAGGGTGGTGGAGGGCGGCAGTTTAACGGTTTGGTTGATGTCTATAAGAAGACAATGGCAACCGATGGTATTGCTGGACTCTACCGTGGATTCACCATTTCATGTGTTGGAATCATTGTGTATCGTGGTCTTTACTTTGGATTGTATGACTCTTTGAAGCCTGTCATCCTTACTGGAGACTTAGCGGTAAACCTACTTACTTTTAATCTTGGATGGGTTTTATATAAACGATAAAATATTGAAAAACACAACAGTACTTTGACCATTTTATCCATTTTTGCATATTATTATTATGATTATTATTAGGGTTAATGTCATAAAAGGGTAACAAAACACTATTGTTCTAAAAAAGTAACGGGTAACGAACTATTTGTTTTTATTCAGCAAAAATATCGTTGAAATAATGGTATTTCGTGTAACATAAAGTTCCAGTCGCTTACATGATGGCATTTTTTTAAACAATAGTGTAAGTGTTTTTTTTAAAGAAACAAATAGTTCATTACTCAAAAAGACATTAACCCTTATTATTATAATAATTGAGTTGATGTCATATGATGGCAACCAACTGTTCGCAAGTTGTTAAATCCCAATCATTTGATTGTATATAATACCAAAATAAACATCTAATGTGATTTCAATTATACTATTGGAGAAGATTCAAAAGTATGACATGGCATCCTACATGGTGCTTAGTTGGCAAAATTGTTCATATTGTCTCTGCATGGCACTAAATGGACGGCATCCTGTTTAGACTTTTTATTTAATTTTAACTTATTTAATAGATAAAAAAGAATAAATTAAAACGGTGAGAATACAATGTGTTTTTCTCTATTTGTTTTCATTGAGGTTGAGTTTCGGGTAAGTGAGAAAATTGATTTTTTTTTAATGGTAAAAAATGTAATAAGAGTTTAATCTTTTATATAAAATAGTTATGTTGCTAAAATGATGTGATGGTGAAACTACATTATTTTTTTTCTTCATTTTGCTCTTATCATTTTATGATAGATTTATGGAGTGAACTATTATATTTTTATGAATATTACGCTAATAGTTTAGGAGCTAAATCGATAAAATGGTGAAATTTACTTTGTAATCTTTTGATTTTACCCTTATACTAATGTGGATCGATTGAGACACATTTTTTTCAGGATAGTTTCTTTGCTAGCTTTGCACTTGGTTGGGTGATCACAAATGGAGCAGGACTTGCATCTTACCCAATTGACACTGTTCGTAGAAGAATGATGATGACATCAGGTGAGGCAGTGAAGTACAAGGGCTCCATGGATGCACTCTCTCAGATTCTAAAGAACGAAGGTGCCAAGTCTCTCTTCAAGGGTGCAGGTGCCAACATTCTTCGTGCCATTGCTGGTGCTGGTGTGCTTTCTGGTTATGACAAACTCCAGCTCATCATCTTTGGCAAGAAGTATGGATCTGGAGGTGCTTAATTATGATGTCATATCAGCTACATGAATGGTGATGAAAAGCTTTTATTTGCTGAAGTTTTGAATAAGAATTTAGTTTTGGAAAGGTGCTGGATGGTGTAATGATATACCAGGCATCCTTTGTAGATGGAAACCTTATTTGTAACACTCCTAAATTTTATTAGAACTTGAATACTAATTGCAATTTCAAATGCAATTACGATGCTTTAGGTGAATGATATGTTTTTGTCTCAAATATTTCTCATTCTTTGGCATTACTCCATGCACTAATCGTTGTTATCGGCTTCATCTTCTATCTCATCCTTTTCTTATAAGTCCATTTATTGTGGACCAAAACTCGTGTATTTATCGGTGATTTTAATGTCGTCGGAGATTTTATATGACTGGAAATTACACACAAGTGCTCAAGGGGATTTAGATTATGATCTCTTGCAAGTCATGTGGTGTTGCACTACAAGAATATCGGCCTTTAGCGGCGACACTATTACACACAAGTGCTCAAGGGGATTTAGATTATGATCTCTTGCATTACACACAAGTGCTCAAGGGGATTTAGATTATGATCTCTTGCAAGTCATGTGGTGTTGCACTACAAGAATATCGGCCTTTAGCGGCGACACTATTACACACAAGTGCTCAAGGGGATTTAGATTATGATCTCTTGCATTACACACAAGTGCTCAAGGGGATTTAGATTATGATCACTTGCAAGTCATGTGGTGTTGCACTACAAGAATATCGGCCTTTAGCAGCGACACTATTACCGCTACAGGGCCTTTTAGCGGCGACTCTAGCATTTGTAGCCGCTAAAGGCCTAAGTCGCCGATAATAGTGTCGCCGCTAAAGGCTTATCACCCGAATCCGTGTTTTCCCCCTCTGATAGATCTCATCCGTTCGATCAAGTATCTAATCCAACGGTTGGGGTCCCTTATCCGCACAAACCTAATACCGGCGACATTTGTGTCGCCGCTAAAAGTCTAAAAAGTCGCCGCTAATAGTTACCTAAAAAATGACGTGGTACCCTTCCCTCCAGATTGTCGCCGCTAGTGACTCGTGTCGCCGGTAAAGCCCTAACTGTCGCCGCTAATAGCGTCACCGCTAAAGGCTCACACAGCTAAAAAAACGCACGCAATTTGCTCATTTCTTCCCATTTTCACTTCTGTTTACTGCTGCTACGCTGCTGCTCTTCCAAGTTCCCCCGATTTTGTGTTCGATTCGTTGATTCCAACAACATATCTCCCCACATTGTGTGAGATTAGGGATCAAGGGTGGTTAGGGCTTTATGTGACCGATTTCTAGCTCCATCTATTGAAGAAATGTAAGTTGAAGTTCTTGTATCTCTTTGTCTTTGTATGTTAACTTCGATTTCTAGCTGCATTTGATGATTAAATTGCAAGAAATTGTTCAATTTTAGTGTTTTTGGTGGTGTTGTCTTTGGGTTTACGGGTGAGGGTATTTTCGGGTGAAGACCAATTTTTTCGGCGACATATCCGTTGATTTCCGCCACTACAGGTTCTATTATTTCAATTTTTTGTGAATTTGGTATTTGTATGTGAAAATTATATGAAAATTGTCATATGTGAAAATTGTGTGTATATTTGATATTTGTATGAATATATGTAAATTTGGTGTATATATGACAATGTATGTGTGTTTGATGTATATGTGGTATATGAGTAGTTTGTAGAAGTATATATATGATGTTATTATCTATATATATGTGAAATTATATGTGTTTGTTATAAGTATGATGTTCTTGTGTGTGTATGTGAATGTATGTATGTTTGTTGTAAATGTGGTATATGAATGTGAAATTTGTGTATTTGGTATAAATAGGATGTTATTATCTATATATGTGAAAGTATGTGTATTTGGTTTAAGTAGGATGTTATTATGTGTGTATGTGAATGTATTTGTATTTGGTGTATATGTGGTATATCTATGTGAAAGTATGTGAATTTCATGCTCTTATGTATTATGTAAAAGTATGTGGTTTTGGTATAAGTAGGATGTTATAATTGAAAAAAAAAATTAAAATAAATTATTGTTATAATTGGAAAAAAAACACAAAAAAAATGTTATAAAATTGTTTAAAAACTTATATACAAATACTAGAAAGTTTCTAGTTTCTTCCCAAGCTAACCCCAAATTAACCAACAAGTTCTATAGTTAACTTATAATCTTCAAATTAACTTATAATGTTATATTTCTATAGTTTCATATTTATATTTTCATGTCTTTTTTAGTTTTTAATTTTTTTTTATTTGCAACATATTTATACTATGTTATAAATAAAAAATATATATTTTTTAATCTCGGCGATAAAAAAGACCAACACAACAACATAATATAATTGTTTAAAGTACAATGGTATAACTGAAAAAAAAAAACAAAAAATGTTATAAATAAAAAAAATATAAAAATGTACAATAGTAAGAAATGTTTTTTTATGGATATATCAAATTATTAATTTTTTCTTTAGTTAATATTTTATTCATTAAAAACTAATTGCTAAACATATTAAAAGAAACAAACAATTTTTTTTTTCAAAAATCATGACTATATTTGTACATCTAGTATAAATAAAACAAACGTGTGGAAAAAATTGATTTGTTGGATCTTTGACCCTTTTATTTAATACTTACAACTTTTGCCTATATAAATTACAAGTAATTGTAACTAAATTAAAAAAACGCATAAATAAAAAATTTTAATTTAATTTTTTTATTTTTTTTAATTGTAAAAAAAATGTGGATTGAAAAAAAAAACAATGCTAATTCTGTATACTAAACTCTAAACCCAAAATTATGTTTCAGCAACATCATGTCTATTGATAAAAGCTGGACTACTAATCCATATCGAAACCATCCTGAGTGTCACAACTAGCATTTTAGCTAGGAAATTCTATTCTCGTGTAACGATTCAACTATTGTAAGACATATACTCTATGTAAATATCATCAAGTGCTCATTTGATTTCATCTCTCATGTTCAACAAAGAGTCTGAAAACCCTAAGAATCCCGGTTTAAGTCCATACTGGACTAGGATTTCCTTATTGGGCCTAATGGACCAATAAGCATTCAATTCAACTATTTTGGGCTTGGAAACCCTATTTGGATTCTAAATGGACCCAATTCACAAAATCTATAACATTTTGGTACATTTGGGCCTAGAATGATTCATTCTAACCCTAAAAGGCCTTATTGGGCCATAGCTAACCCAATTAACCTTAGTGAGCCATAAACCCATTCTTTTATCCTATTAGGGCCGTGAACTATCTAATGAGCCCATTGGGCCGAAAGGTAATCATTGGGCCTCATAATTTTGAGTAAAGGCAAGTCAAGGCCCAAACTACTCCACCCTTTCTCCTAGCCCAAAACTCTCGGCCCAACACATTAACAAAAAAAAATGAAAAATGAAATGGAGGGGGGGTTGACTTTGGAGGTGCCACCTCCATATTGTTCACCATGTAACAATGCATGGCCTCCCATATTTCCATGAAAAGTCACCTCACCTTTCTCTCCCCTCTCTTCTTGATATCTCGTCCGAGAGCAAAGACACACACACACATACTTCATTTTCAAGATACTCTCCAAACACTCTCAAAGATTATCCTCCTTCCTTCAAGATCTCGAAAATTGCTAGAGTTCTAAGGATCTTCATCAAGTCATTCCAATCTTTGGTAAGTTTTTGTCAAACACAAGTATCTTCTTCCATCTTAACATGAAAAACTCCTTCTTACATAGTTTTATTCCATGATCACACCTTAGAAGCTTCACAATCTCGAGATCCACTTCAAGGTGTTGCTAGGACCAAAAATCATTTCCATTCTTTCTTCAAAAACCGAAACATCAAAGCAAAGGTGAGTTCATACCCCCTTGTTTTCAGTTTTACATGATTTTTGGGGGAGAATGCAAGTAAAATGTGTAGATCTATGTGTTATATACATGTCTTGTGTGATTTCTTAGTTTATTTTGTAAAAATATGTTAGATCTTAGCAAATCACGACATCTTGAGTAATATTGAGTCAAGATCCATGAACTAAGACACCTTAAATATCATATTATCAAGTTAAAAGTGTTATATGCTCAAGATATAAAAATCTAAGGCAAAAACTTTGTTAAAGGCCAAAAATTGTCAAGAGAACAAAAGATAAGGGTAAAAAGCGACATTTAAGTTTTTATAAGGATCAAACAGGTTCTACTTGTACAAAAATGGATTTTTATGATAAACATGCTTTTCAAAGGGGCAAAAATGTAAATTTTAGCTTAATGGGCCAAACTTTTGGGCCTCACGGTTTTGGGCCCAAATTTGCGAAAAAGGGAAAGTTTTAGGATTAAAAATGTTATTTGAGCAAAATTTGAGTTATAAATGTAAATAAACCAAATTTAGGGGTGAAAATAACATTTATTTCCAAATTGGACCAAAAATGTAACTTTTAATAAATTGGGCCGAAAGTGTAAATTTTTACAAACAATGGGCTGAAAATGCACTTTTCTGCAAAACTGGACCTTAAATGTCAAAATATATATTTTTTGGACTAAAACCGTGAATTTCTAGACATTTGGGACAAAATTACAAAATTTTTATAAATTATGGACTAAAGTGTCATTTTACAAAACTTTAGGTCTTAATTGAAAATTTGAGGCTTATTGGCCAAGATCGTCGTTTTTACAAAAGAGAACTTTTATATTCAATTCGATAAGCCTCGAACTAAAACAATCAACGAAATACATCGATAACAATTTTATTGGGCCTAATATTCACGTTAGATAGCTAATGAGCCTTAAGGGCCCATCCAAGTGTATATTGAGCCCAATATTTTCCATGACATGTTTATTGGGCCTTGCGACCCATTTACATGTTAATTTGGGCCTGAGTTATGGGTCACATGTTTGTTGGGCCTTTGTGGTCCATTTACATGCCTATTGGGCCCAAATTATCCACTTACATGCTATTGGGCCTTTGTGATCCACTTACATGCTAGTTGGGTTTGGACTGAAATTCACATGCTTGCTAGATTGTAACTATACCTTTACATAACTATTGAACTTCATATACTTATACATGTACCTTTGGATTGATAACATACAACATGCATGTAAACATTAAACATAGTACGAAAGGTTGAGAATCTAGTGAGACGTGTCGGTTGGCACATTTGAGTGTACAATCGTAGCTTGTAGTTATAATCAGAGTCTCCTGGAGGGAGAGCGAGAGTTTGTGTATAGATCTA